TTTTTTTTTTTTTGTATGTGTTGCAGGTTGCTATTGGAGATGGGTTATATAGAGGAGTTAGTGTACTCTCTGCTTCACTATGTTTGTGTTCCAGATGCCATGTTGCAGTGGTAATGGAAGACTGTGACCTCCATGTCACTTTAATTGTCAGCTTGTGCATGCTTGGATGGCCATGTCAGAGTCAAGACTTCATGAAGCCTACAGGTAAGAAAGTTCTTGAATGTCAATGAAATATTTGACCAGTGACTTTTGTCATATGATTTATTGTATATATAAGAGAATTGATACCACTCTCATATCGGGAAGTGGGAAACAAGCAGATAAAGCTTTCTGTGCTTTCTGTTAATGTCACCAAAACCTGCCCCTCTCTATAGCTCCCTAATTAACAATCTTGCTCTTTTAACCCATGGAATATCGGATATATTCAAAGACTTTGGGAGGTTTTACACGGGGTATGTACCTCACCATTTCTTTGCCATGTGCCATAACTTTATAAAGTCTCTTGGTTTTTCATCAAAGAGAGACCATGGCAGGAGAAATTGTCTGTCACACATTACCCCTAACACTTAATATGTCTATGGTACACTTTGGCTTTTTGAATTGCTTGAAATTGGCTTTTATTACAGTTGAACAGAGCAAGCTGTTCCTTTCATTAATAGTCCCTCTGTTAAGCTGATAGCAGGTTTTAAGATTTTGGTTGTAATTGTCTTTAGGTCCTGACAGAAATTAATAATTAATTTGCTTTAAAAAGGAACAAAGAAAATCCAAAATATGTTGCAGTCCTAAGCCTGTAAAAACGTTGACCAATGTCTGCCACGAGGTACCAATCTGATGAACCAATCATGTCTCCCTGCTCGTTCTCTACCCCTTGTGTGCACTAGCCACTCTTAAAGCGCTTCACAGATGACAGAGTTTACACTGTGAGTTTGCAGAATGAGACATTAGACAAAGTAGTTTCTACGCAATGCAAGCGACTGGAGCAATGGTGCTCGTGCATGTAAGCGAGGGGCGTGGCTTTTGAGGGAGCACAGAGGGGAGGGAGTGGGTGTAGACGGAGCACTGAGGGAACGCTTCATGCTAGTTTTTGAAAAGGACCAAGCCTGCCTTTAAGGTAAGTGGAATAAGCTGCTACTGTCTTTTCATGCATACTTTCATTTTTTTTTAAATAACCAGGCTGATCCTGGCAAATTAGGATGGAAATTGTATAAATATGTAAGGTCAAGCTAAGCTGAGTTTTCGTAAAACAAAGAACTTATTAGGCAATAATTCATCAAAAGTAGGAAATAAATGAAATCACTAAATTTACTTCAACAGAACCACTAGTAGTTCTCTGAGTAGTTCAAAAGAGACAGATTTAAGTTTAACCATGAACTTATTTTTGTATGCATCACCTTTTCCACTTTTTGTTTTTAGTTGTGAAAATGAGGTCGGAATATCTAAACAAAAAGAGTTCTCGCTAAAGCTTGAAAACTTTGGTAATTGTTACTTGCAATTAATTATTTAAATATTGACTGACCTTTTCAAGGTAAAGATAATTGCTGGTGTGGCCAAGTGAAGAAGACACAGCAGTGCATCACTCCCCACTAATTGATTTGGCTGCTGCACTCATGAACTTTTCACTGTGATCAGCACTGTGACAGAAAGTAATCACCCATCAATTTTTGAGATGAGTGGTTCTCAAAGGTGCCCATAAATTTAAATAGGGTGATGATACTGTCAAGGTAGACCTTTTAGAGGCAGCATAAAGCTTGCATGAGATCCAGGCACTACACACTGCCCCTGCCTGGCTGTAGGAAGCGATGCTGTCTGTGGGAGAGCTCATTCCAGGTCACCCACTCTCTGTGGGCGAGAGAGCGAGAGAGGGTGGAGAGTGCAGGAGAGGGAGGGATGCAAAGTAAAACGACAGACTAAGAGGAGAGAGAATATCTTTAGCCTGATAACTGCTAGCTATCACACCATTCTTTTCCATATAGAGAGCCTTGAATGCATTGCAGTTTTTTTTTTTTTTTTGCCATTTATTGATGCAGTGATTCATTTCCTGGGTTTATATAAAGCCATGTACTGCAGCTGCGATGCAATGTCTTCACCATGACAGTGCCCCAGTCTGACATCCTTGTATGAAGACAAGAAATGTGTCTTGTAGGCTCATCAAGCAGTCATTAGGCTGAAAGCAGCCCACCTACTTTCTTTACCAAGCAGCTAATACAGAAACATTGCAGTGAATCACATTTTTGTGGACTTTTATTGTGTTTGCCTGTCCATCACAGTCCTGATGATTGTCAGATACACTCCAGTGTGTTCTGGTAAGAAGATGCTGATGCATTTTATGAAACTGAGTGAGTAGGTGTTGTAACCGGAACTAAATTTTAGTAGCCAGCCGTGTGAGCATGATGGGGCAGGATTAAAGATTTTGTATAACTGCCTGGAAATGTAACATAAAAAGCATAAAATCCACTGTGCTATTCTTAAAACACATACCAAATGATAGTAAAAAATACAACCCCGAGTGTGCCATCAGGTCTCGTTGTCATGGAAACAATGCATTTTTTTGCTTAAGTGATTTTTAAGCAAAGTTGACAGTTACATGCTTTTGTGGACTGTGTTTCAGTTAGCTATGCAGCTAATTAGTGCAGTGCGCTTTAAAAGATTTCCATATTAGTTGCATCAGCAGTGAGCAGGCGGCAGGGGGGCTGTGTGTGGTGTGGTGTGATCAGCGGAGCCGGTGTACAGCCTATCAGCCTGTGGATGAGTGGCCGACATCCTGTAGCACTTAGCAAAGCCAGTTGTTTATGAATGGTGACTTGTTTAGTCCGGCACAGTTTCCAAAAACATAAACCATATAAATCTTGGTTGCGCCTCTGCCAAAACAAAAGTGGTGACAGTCTGAAAAAGTCAGTTACCATGGATACAGAAATTGCCCACATCATTTTTGTCAGAGGCCTTGTGTAATCCTTTTCTCTTCCCTGTAATTTATCTATTTATCCACTTATTTAATTATTTACTCATCAGTGTGTTTGTGTGCCTGCCTGCTGGTTTCATAGTTGGAGTTGCTTTAATTGGACTTTTTCTGTCTCCTTTCCTCTGGTTCATTCTAGGAATATTGAAGTTCTGGGCTTTGACGATTATACAAACAGCATTAGGGGGATTAGCTTTTGTCTTGAATAATTATACAGAGTAATAACAAAATAGTTAGCAAAGTGTTTACGCACTACACAGTGATAATGGGTCTCTCTCGTTTCTCAAGTGTTCCATAATCACACAGTGGTATGAGCTATTAGCAGCAGTCGTTTCAAATGAAATCAGACAGCGGAAATGTAGAGGTAAAGGCTCGCTCAGGTGTTGGGATGCTGGCCGCCAGATTTCAATCTGTGCTGTTTGTCTGCATGTAGGAGTGTGTGAGTGTTTAAGTGTGTTTGGTGTCTCCTCTGCAGCACAAAATGCCCGAGTAACTTCTGCTCAACGTGCTGTAGGCCTATGAAAGATGCATGAAGGCTGAGCCCAACAGTGATAAATCAGTCATAAAACAGGGGCCATCGTCAGACATTTCTAACACTGTGAACTCCTCCCATATTGCCTAAAATACCTTAAACTGTCTGTAAACTCTCTACTGTTTAAGTGTTGTGATTAACACAATGAAGAAACACTAAATGAGCAAGGTAGAAACCCCTGAACCTATGCATGCAAAATCCTGTAAAAGGCAACGTCCCAGAAATTACACCAGGGAGGTCTGCATTGAAACACGTCCTCCAATTTGACTACACACAAATTAAAGGACAGCTTTTAAAAGCTTTATTTATTGTCGTCCGGAAGAATAAAGGATATTATTTCCTTGGCAACAGCTAAATGATTAAAAAAGATGAGCTTAGCCATATTACTAGCTCGAATATTAGAGCTAGTTTTTGTTTAAACTAAAATTGAAAGCCATGGCAATGCCACATCTTCAGTCCCTAAATGGTTTGTCTGGGGTCTCCCCTATTCCAACAGGAGTTCTCTTTAAGAGTAAATATCAGGATGGGATGATTGTGGGTGGAATCGGTAAAAGAAAGGTGAAGCTATATGACATTTGGAACCCCATAATTTTCTTTTTTCCAGAAAAGAAAAGCAGACTATCATCTACTGTTCCTGCGGTCTGTCTCCTACTCTTTTATGTCAACGTTATGCAATCGTCTGTTTCTTTTATTCCAAGACTGGGAGGCTCAGGATCTGAAGGAGGAGGATAGAGGACCTCAACAGGTTGAGATTTTTATTCTAGGGATGGAAGAGGAGGAGGAAGAGGAGGGTAGTGAAACTTCCTTTTATAATAAGCCCTCTGGTCTGCTTACACTGAGCTACTTTTTTTTCGACACAGCGTGTACCTCGGCTTATGACAGCCAGTAGTAGATCCCTGGCCTGCTAACATGACCCCATGCAGTATCTACACCATCTGTCTGCATTGGGACTCTAAGGCAACACTCAGGGGGGGGATGCAGAGGGAGAGGGAGGGCTGGAGAGAGAGGAGGGGAGTGTTAACTCCCTGAGGACCCCCTGTGCTGCAGTTTTGATCTGCTAATTATGTTTAATTGAGACTTCGTAATTCACAAGTGTTGCCTCTATTTTTCTTATGTCACCCTTTTAATTGACTCTGGCGCTGGCAAGGGAACGTGACTCATTACAGGCAATAAACGTTTTGATGCATTTCTTTTGAAGGGATCCGTACTTTAAATTTGGGGAAAAGGGGACTGTGTATTCGGGGACCACTTGAATGGGTTGAACAGTTTATCGAATAGGGAAATGTTTTACTAATAAGCAGTGAATGTCCTGAGGGACGGAGGAGCCACGCGGCGACTTGTTTGACGCTGAAACAGTCGTCACAGCACACACACACTTAGAGAATCGCACACACACGTCGAGGGAGATAGAGAGAGAGAGAGAGAGAGAGAGAGAGCGAGAGATGCTTGCAAAAATGCGCGCACGCGGTTTTCGTTTGACGAGATGGCACCAGGTGATGCCATAATCGACGAATGAGGATTCACTGGTACGCGATACCTCTCTTGCGTCTTCAATTGAAGAGCGACTCGCAAAGGAAAGGGAAGACCCGAGTGAGACAGAAGAGGAATAGACGTATTAGTTTTGACAACTTCTGAAGTTGGAGTCGTTTTTTGACGCGGTCTGACATGGCGAAGTCACCCTAGCGCGCGCGCCCCTCTTATCTCGCCACATATCTTTTTGATATTTGATAATAGGGAGATGAAGCCACCCAAAAAAACCTACCATTATCCGCATCCCCCTTTCACCACAGTGTCTTTCTCTCATTCAGGCCCGTTGCTCATATGTTTAATTAACTAGGCTGATGTGTAAGTACCTTCAGCCAGCGAAGCGTGGGCGGACGGGCTGCGGGGTAAAGAGGCTGCCGGAGAATATTTCCTTATTCCTTTCCGGCCCGGGCGCTTGCTCTTTTGCTGGAGCTTCACCTCCATCGAGCGACTTCGAAAGCTACAAAAATAACTCGACCGCTTTCAACTTCTTCCGAATTGTTTGGTGCGTTTTTTTGGAGTGCTTTGCTCGCCGGAGGACGCGTTAGGGGGAAGTAGAAGAAAGACGGGTGAGTGAGGTAAAGAGAGGGAAGGACAGAGTGTGTGTGTCTGTGTGAGTGTGTTTTGATGTTATTTGTGACGGAATCCCCTCTCCAGTCTCCAAGAATCCGCGAGCGACGCGAGGAGGAGGAGGAGGAGGAGGAGGAGGAGGAGGCGCGCGGACCTGTCCACGAGCCCTCACTGCGGAACGCGCGGGGCTGCCGCTGGAGATTCCAAAATCAACGATTATTTTGGATTCAAGAGAGACTAACTCTTCCCCGTGCGTCAAAGGCTTTTTATCCCCCCCTTTCCCTGGTCCGTCCTTGCTGTTAAATGGACGGTGTTTGACGTCTTCAACGAGAGGAATACTACCTTTTTTTTTTTTTTTTTTTTTTTTTTTTTTTTTTTAACCGGGGGTGAGGTGCTGGTGTAGGGGAAGGTCTTCAGAGGCAGACAGGTGGATTTAATCGTGGTGTGTTTTTTTGGGGGGGGAAAATTGGATGGAGGAGAAATTGATGGATTAATTTGACGGAGGACAGTTGTTTGTGTGATTATCACTGCTGCCGAGGGCACCCGAATGGAGTAACAGGCTGCAATGTCATCTCCACCTGGCCGCCTGGAGAGATGTGTCACGGGAATGGGGTGAGTTAGCTAAATATATATATATATATTTTTTTTATATCTTAGCTCAGAAGAAACTCTCACCTCTCGAGGGGAGACGCTAGAATTGAGCAGGTATTTGGGGGTTCCGTGGTTTTAATATCTGCCGAAGACTCACTCTCTTTCCCAAAGTGGAGCAGAGAAGGGGTGACTGGTTTGTGCTTCTCTCTCCGCTCCTCCGTTCGTCCGAGTCGCCGACACACAACCTGCTGCATGCCCTACATAGAGGAGCCTGGCACCGGAGAGAGGAGCGTGAGGGGAATACTCGCTGAGGAGCCACAGGCTGTTTTTAACTCGCTCTCTCTCTGCCCTCACTCTCTCTCTCTCTCTCGTTTCGTCACAAACGCACACACACAGAGAAAGGTATAATAACGTTATAATTGAGTCTCACTCGCCTTCCACAAACTTGCCTTTGAATTTGACTGTGTTTTGTACGTCATGCAAGCTTAGCTTCCCATTCAATAAGTCTGTTTCAGCATCCATAGAAAAAGGCACAGTTTTGCTCCCACGTACGCAAACATATAGTCTAACATAACACACGTGCGCGCACACAAATGAACATGAACACAGTTATCGGATATAGAGCTGGTATTTACTGAAATTCGAGCTCTAAAAAGCTTGAGTCACGAGGACCATAATGACATTGGGTTATCATGTTTATGGCTCATATTCATAGGCACCAGCCCGAAGGCGCGCTAGTCCTTTTTATAGAAAAGAGTGAAATTCAACAAGTCTTCGCTTTTTTTTTTTCCATGGCTGCAGTTCAATAAGCCGTAGCTTTTTATATTTTCCTGTTTTTTTTCCAGATCAAGTTTGAACACTTTTCCTCTGACTTCACTGACTCTGTGAGAAGGCACCAAAATGTCAGTAAACGGACGGGCCACGGTGGCTGCCTGCACCGGTCCCCATACCACGGCAGAAAAACTCAACATTCATCACACGGACTCCGAAGAAGAAGGCGCAAAACCTCCACGACCGCAAACCTGCTGCAGCCACGCTTTGTGACACTGAAGGTAAGGACCGCGGGCTCAGGAGGAGCAACTCCGCCAAAGCGGCTCATGCGCAGCGCAATGCGACGCTAAGCGGCGCTGTTGCATCACATTATGCCTGGCTACTGATGAGAGGGCCGTGTAATGAATTCATATCTCAAATTACAGTTTTCAGGCTTTGAATGCAGTCACGTTGTAGAAACACATTTTCTTCCGCTTTCCTCCCGCTTTCCGTGCCAAGTCTGACACACGAAGTGTCTTCTCTTCCCTGGGACATGGAGGCAATCACACACAAATACCCACGGATGTTACATGGGGGGGTAACTATAGGAGCATGGAAGTCTGACATGGCAGGATATAAGGCCCTGATTTACATAATTCTCCACCAGACTTAACATTCATGATAGAGGAGGGATGCCCATCACTTTTAATGCTAAGCACTGAATGTGTATTTGTTTACATTTATCATTATCATTTATGGCAAATTATCATGCATGCCATATCAGATTTATTGTGTGTGATGGAGGGATCTGCAGAGAGAGGCCGCCGATGTGCTCGGCAGTAGCCTATTTTCTTGAATAGTGGGATGCCACAAAAGGAGATCAACTCTGTAGGGCATAAATGCAATACAGTGGGGAGCAGTGAGTGTTTAGAGCTGTTGCTATCTTCATCAATATAAATATCCTGTGCAAAGCTGCAATGAATTCTGGGGGGGGTGATATCTTACCACATTTAAAATCTCAACAATACGTTGTAATTGTAATCTATCCTGTAATCCTCGTGCCTCGTGTATCCTCCTGCCTGTAATCTATCCACTTTCGTTTTTTTGTTGATATCACTGCGGATGTATCCTGCTCAGTGGGGCGTTGTATTTTCATCTTGTGCAGTTTGCTATTAAATAACGACTAAAACAAGGCCAAACATGAAAACGATACAAATGTTGGAGAAAATTCTCAGTGATGCGATGCGTACCGTATTCTTGAGTCCCATTTTTGGCTGCAGAATAACATAGCGTTGCAATTATATGTCGAGATGCATCTCACTGAGACGTTCGCTCAACCGTTACTTTGTTGGCAAAGCAGGTACTGTAGTTCAGAATCCATCGTCTCCAAGCAGCTAGACACTGTAGCTAGAAGTGAGACAGTGTTGTTGTTCTGCTTCTCTGCAGTTAAGGCTATTTAATCCCTCACATTAAATGAGCTCTTCTCAACATGTTTTCGTGCTGCCTTTAACAATATGGCACTCTTGAGATTTTTTTCGATGGCACCTAAGTGGAACTGCAGAGGTTCACAACAAAACATTAGGTTCTTGTTTCTATACTAGTAACAACAACAATCTAAAAGGTGCCTTTGTAGCCTGGCTCTGTGTCACACTATTATCTGGTCAAATATATATATTTTTTTAAGAGTGAGGTGTCTGTGGCAAGGACAAGGCTGCACAGGTGAGCAGCCAGACATCTTTGTAATCATGTTGTGTTTTGTTTTTTTTTGCTTGACTTTTTAAGCTGGAGCAGAAAATTAGCTCAACATCTACATATGCCTGCAAGTGGGAAAAGGTTCTGAAAGCATTCATGTAGAAGCCTCTTTCTTTTTGTGAAAACTACATTGAGTTTTCTACCTCTGTTGAACTGATTGGCCTACTGAACCGACTGTAATAATTTTGGTGAATTTACTTTGATGAAGTCTCAAAGAATAGCTCGTCAGCAGTATAAAATCATCCCTTTGATCAAACAGTTATTGAGTCAAATAATATTGCTTTTTATCTATTAGGTTATTTCATGCTGTTTTGTTTGGTTCTGTTAAAGAATATTAAGTCTCAAATAGAAGGAAAAAAACAGTCAAAATCAAATCCTCCCTTACTTCACTCCGATTTCCATGAACATATAGAGGATTTAAGGTAGGAGTACGCACACAAGATAGCAACAAAGAGCTTATGAAGAATAATTATTAAGACGCTTAAAAAGGAGAAAGCCAAAGAACTTGTGGGTGGAAAATGCACCTTCTTGCCCTGCGATGTAGCTGTTTTTGTCCTCAGGAAGTATTGACATATTCTAGCAAATCCTCCCTGTATCTGCACAGTATTTTTGGCAGGAGAGCACTATCCACTGAAGTTGAAAATAAGGTTCATGGTGGTGTGGTTCTGCCCAGAACATTAACAGCCAAAGCATGTGAAGCCACCCAGCCTCTGGCATGGCCCTCAGCTTCATCTTTCATCTGCTGAGTGAGTGCTCTCTCTAAAGTCAATTACACCTGCTAGTGTGCCTGCACTGCTCTGCATCAGACAATCTTATCCTGACAAACCTCCACTACACACACCTTTGACTCTGACTCCAACAAATGTAATCCTTTTTCTTCTCCTCTGTTTAAAGACTGTAGAGTCTGATGCACTGCCCTCACAGTCGCTGTCATCGTTCATAGGTCAAATGGCGATCACATGAGGCTCGAGAGGATGAAACTGAGCGTTTTCATTTTTCTCTTCCTAGCAATTACTGTTGCAAAGGACTGAGTGGCATATGATAATGAGTCATTTGACCCCAGCTGATCTTCTGTATGTTGATGTGTGATAGTGCAGTCTCAGACACAAGTTAATAACCCAAAAGCCTCTTAAGAACATGCACTGTTTAATCATTTAATCAAAACACAGATGGGGGCTCATTTAATGAGTTAGTGAGCCATAGTGATATGAAGTAGGGGTTGACTGATACAGGTTTTTGAACTGTTCATTTTAGACAGAAGTGGGCAGTAGTCAGTCGCTATTAATGCTAAACATAAAAACATTGGACCATATCATGCCTTAAAACACAAGTGTTCAATCTTTTACATATAGTTATTAACTTCAAATTATTAAATATCATTTTCTACACTAACAGCTAAAAATATGAATTCTAAAAAGGAGATGTTCTTCAGTTAACGATCGACTCCCTGATTATTTTTGGATGAACTCCTACAATGTTGCCTCATTCATATTTTAACATCGCTTTTGTTCCAAGTTTGACTAAATGATCATGACTTTTTTTTTTACACTTGTCTTGCTTAAAGGATTTCAGGTAAGAGGGATCCACTTCCAGCACAGTGTCCAACACTTAACTGATTGGATTTAAGTCATATTATTGGAATTATTGTCAATTTGAATTTTGGAAACCTGATTTGATAAGAATTCGCCTTTGCTTCAGCTGGGATTTGGAAATCAGAAACTTCTTTTCAAAGGCAGATGGTTTGGATTCTGTAATTCATGATGATCTTGATCCTACTTGAGAGCTGGTCTCAGGGTGGTGGGTTGAGAGCTAGAATAATAACTGTAACCAAGAAACTGCCGCCTTTATATATCTTGAGTATGATTTAAAAAAAACATTTGATGTTTTTCTTTGAATCCATTAAAACAGTGTTTCATCCAAAACGTCTTCAAATGGACTACCACATGGATTGCTGATGAAAATTGCTTTTGACCTTAATTCTATATGAGGTTGTTTGAATGAATAAAAAAAAATCTATTAAAGGCTTTTATAAACATAAAAATGATTTGATAATTTCTTGCAGGATAGCTGTATATTTCTTTGCACTATGTTGGATATTTCGTTACACACAGCATGTTTCCTCTAACATCTTTTTTAGGGTAAAGTATTTTCAAAAAGAAACAGCTGTAATAATTTTTGGCCTGTCAGAATGCTATTATTGAAAAGATGATCGGTTCAAAGGAAAGCATGATAAAGGTTAAAGGGAGGTTGGATCATTATTAGGACATTTATTGATCTCTATTGGCAGTTAGTCAAACCTGATGGTTTTCAAAATGCTACAGTTATTGTGTGAAGCTCCTGGGGTGCCATTTTAAAACAGTGCTTGGAATCCATCCTAAAAGTGTACGTGCGGCAAAAAACTGAAAATGGCATGTATGCACGTGAATCAGCCCTTATATTCCAATCTCTACACACCCACATTGAAACATAAATGGTCAATGTTAAGCCCCTCATGGAGGAAAATGACTCCAAACATGTCGGCTGATCAAAGCTTATGAGCTCTGAATCAAAACAACAACCAGAAGTAAGTCCAATAGAATAAACTTCTATTGCTGCAGCGTTCACACAGTCCTCCTGCAATACCAAAACATGCAAAGTTCATGACTATGCACGAGTGTCACTGCAGTATTTATATGTTTAAAGGAGACACACTTACTTCTTCAAATAATGTCAGAGTGCTCTCGTCAGTCAGCAGTCGCCCTCACTCTCGGATTGTTAATGAGAACTTTTAAACGCAAACAACAGCTTTTAATTGTTCATCACATTTAACAGGAAATATTTCTGCACTAAGACTGATTATGAGGATATGTAATGATTGTGTGAGGGATACCTAGACTTAATTTCCACAGTTTTTTACACAATGAATAAGTGCAGGTGATGATGTTCTTCGTAACGAGAAGGCAAAATGAATTAGACAGCCACTACCGTATCTCTGTGCACTCTGTGTGTCTTATAGCTCAGTAATATTTATGAAAAATCAAACTCAAACTTGATTTTATATGAGGGATATTGGAATATATTGATTAATACTACTGGTACTTTCCGGTGAGTGAAGGTGAGACAAATGCTGATGAAATACGTGGCGGACTTTTAAAAAAAAGTGTATATTTCTTAAATTGAAAACTGAACTAGAAAACTGCTTACATGTGCACGCATAAATGAACCTGCGGGTTGGAATGATTATGGTTATATGGATCTATAAGTTAAGTTTGATAATTGAATGAAATATAAATGTGTGAGAGGCACCAATATACATTCTGGCTTCAATTCACCACCTCTCGGTTTGTCGTCATTTTTCCTGCCTCCAGCATGTACGTATGCATGGATCAGTGTTTTCAGTTTTTCGATGCGCACATTTGACCCTCTGGTTTGTTTTTATGAATGATAAACTTTGCGTGGGAAGTGGCGTAGTATTTGAGGTCTAAACTGACGAAACAGGTGGTCACACACAGTCAGTCCAAACATGAAAAACAAACCAGTCAGGGAGTAGGCAAGGAAGCCAGAAGTCAAA